ATCACTGATTAGATCAATGTTTCACCACCCGCAATAAATGTTCTAATGTGTCAACTGGATACAAGTGGAATCCCATTAACAAAGCATTAAGGTCCTTCAATGTTTGAGGCAGAATGCCTTTTTACGCAGAAGTTTACTCAGTGATTCGGGCTTATCGCGGCACGAACATACTTATAAAGCCTGAACTGGCCAAAACAGTCATCAAATGGACGCCCATCAGTACAACAGCGAAAAGGTTCTGAACTTGAAACATACGCATGCACCACCGGAGTATGGCACCTTACTGAATGAGGCGGACGTTACGCGCAACCAAGCTCCGGATACAAAATCGGTTATGCTGATGGTGGACTTCAATGTGCAAGTTAGGACAAACACCCGTACATGGAGACGCGTGAACAAGAATAACGGCATTGACCAGCTTAACAGTAGTCATATTCAGTTATTGTACTTCTGTGTAAGTAATAGAAGGTACAATGAAAAACTTTTTGGAACATCAACAAGTGCATATATGGGAGAAAAGCGGCGGAGTTGACAGCCACGTAACTACGTATTTCAAACATGAGGCGTGTGAATACCATCACAGCGTAAAACGTTTCTTCTTATTTGCATCCCGATGTATGTTTTCCCTATTCGAGTCCCTCGTGAGAAGTTCAAGGGTTGTATTAAATGACGATCTATGTTCAACCAGTTTGTCTAGCCTCCTTTTCTTTACCTCCTCATCTGCTGAGTCTCCTGTTCCCAAAAAATAATAGAACAATTCTATACGCTTTTCTCCCGATTAACTCTCATTATGCGCTGAAGCCAATGTCGCCGTACGCAGTTTAACCGTTTTTCTTGTTCTTTCGTTATACAGCTGTCAAAATGCTGTAAAACAACAATGAAACAATGCTGATCTGACTGCGGCAAGGCACATTTGGATTTCTATGGAAACAGCTACTCCTTCTTAGACCTAAATATTGGATAGGTTATGATAAACGCTTGTAGGCTGGGCGAAACACCACTTTAATTCTGATTGGGATGGCGATATCGCTGAAGATGACTGAGCCAAGATACTTAATTGGTCGGCTCAACTTTCTCTCTGAATTCCTTTCGTTTCACTAGTACACAAGCAGTGTCTGATGGGCTCCTCATAAATATGAACTTCTGGGCGCTAAGGTCGAGAACGGCTTTCGCAGTTGTGAAGCAAATGAAAATCGTCAGATGACCAAGACCGCTCCTTGAAGTGCGCCTTCGCTCAGAATGAAATCGTCGTCTTTACCAAGATCAACAATGTTTCGGAGAAGAAAGTTCATAATAATATTGAACAGCAAAGGTGAAATTACGTCTCCCTCATGAATTGCACAGTTAAGTTCCGCAGCCATTTGATTACCAGGATACATCCGATAGGCCTTGCCAGGCCTAATGCGGCCAGCGCGGCCACTGCGCTGTTCAGCCGAAGCCTTCGATATTGGAACTAACATCAATGACTCGATGCCGGTCCTTGGATGTAGGGCTCTGAGTTTGACAAATCCGCAGTCGATAACTATTTCAAAGAAAACGGAATGTACAGAAAAAGGTGCATATCTGGTACAATGTGATTTAAAATACCGTAGACTACACCTGGAATAGTAATAGACGCTTCGGCAATGTTGGTAGCAACGACCACTTTGCGAGTGCCGGCGGGACTGGAATCAAACACTTTGACCTAAATGCGAAATAAAGATAAAGAGATCAAAAATGTTTACCGGATAGCTGTTAATAATAAGGTAGTTCACCTGATCCTTAAAAGGCAGGGCACCATAAGCGGGAAGTACCCAAAGACGGTCGCAGTTCTTCAACTTCTGTCCTTCACTTCTGCAAAGAGGTGAAAGCTTGCGTTACAAAAACGTAAAGGTAACATAACCATAAACGGAATACCTGAGGATCGAGCACACAGCCTCCACTTCGTCTTGGCCGGAGAGAAAAGCCAGAATGTCGCCGCTGGGTGCCTCGAAGCGATGAATCTTAAGTATAGTACTAATTGTCGCCTGGATGTAATCAGGAACTGGACTGAAACAAGAGAAATAGTGAAGCAAATTCTGATCGTAGTTTACAGGACAACCTTGCATACGGTACTTTTTCATGTAAAACACCTCGACCGGATAATTGCGACCTTCGACTGATAAAATTTTGCACGTGTCTTTGTCAGATTCCTTCGATGTGTTGAAGTTGAAGTATTCACAGTAGAGTTCGGCGTCAAGCGTAGCTGAAGATATAATTACCCGCAGGTCCTTGCGCTTGGCAATGATCTTAACGACCCGCGTATACCAAAAAGAAATGCGTGAATATTACCTTCCGCAGCAAGCCCAGTATGACGTCCGTGCAAAGATTGCGCTCATGAACCTCGTCGATCATGATTACACTAAAGGGAGAGACGACCGAGATTCAAAACGAACTCAAAAGCATATACAGCACACATCGCGCAATACAAAGTTGATTATATGCTTATAGGAATCAGCTGCTCGAAGGATGTAAAATAGTGAATTCACAAAATAATCTCAGCTATTTACATGACACAGTAGCCACTGAATGCCTCAGATAAGCGAGCTGTTGAAAAACATACCTCAAACTGGCCTGCAGTTGTTTTCCAAGATAATTCAGGCAATACTCAAAGAACGGCTCGAAGCAGTAATCTTCGAATATACACAAAGGCACGTCTGATGCCCTGAATTACAGAGGAATTAGTCTCCTTTGCGAAGATCTGAAAGTCGATTCAAAAAAAACTATCGTCTGCCAGGCCGATCCAACATTAACTAGATTCTAATATTGGCCTCTTGCTAAAACAGCACAATCCGTACAATGAAACCATTGTTCTTCAGGTTTGCCGACTATCAAGCGGTCTTCAATTCCCCCAACCGCTTAATTTACCAACTGTTAGGAGATTACAGCATATTAGACAAAATGAAAATCTAGGAATATATCTATACCACTACTGTGGCGGTGGTTCGAGCATCTGAAGCGGTCTCAGACAGTTTTGCGATCGACAGCGGAATACGACACGGATTGATCAGCGGACCAAAGCTGTTCTATTAGTGTATCAACGCGATGATGGAGGAGGTCACGAAAGTTAGCAAAATGTAATAAACTACAAAATGGAACCCCGATCATCTGGGGCTGCTTTCGATACCGCCGCTGAATATATCACAGTAAAAATAATGATATCGGACTGATACGGCGAATCCACAATGTAAAGAAAGAAAAATCAATTTCTCACTTTACACCGGCAGTTCTGTTGCATAGCACCTTCTTGCAGCATGGCAGCAAACTCTGTCTATAAAATAAAACACTCCTGGCTGATGATACAGATGCGGAGATCAGCCCCTCACCATTAACTTTATGAAAAGAAGAGCGCCAAAACGGCCCCATTATTAATGAGCAATGAAAAAAGTTACAAATTTTCCATTTTATGCAAAAGCTTAATTTAAGACACTTAGAAATAGGTTGTCCTTGGGTTTTATCAAGTCAATCAATCAAATAAACATAGGCTATGAATAACGAAAGGCATACAGTGAAGAAACCCTGGTTTAACTTGTTTCGGCGTTTTCGACGAACCGTACTTTCCCAAGAAGATTCTATTTGATGCGCTGCCAATGATAAGTTACAAAGCCTTTCTGATTTGCTTGAATTGGACACCCGCGAAAGTGGTACTAGATGGCTACGTCGTGGGAAACGGGAAAGAGTGAAGGTAGGAGATCAGTAAACAACATTCAGCAACATATTCTTCACAGCTGCTAAAGTAACTACAAAAGACAAAATAAACTCTGAAATAGTCAACTAAGTTATCACCTCTCTAAAAAACTCTATCAGCCAGGTTTTTGGAAGGCGTATTGCCCAGCAGTCTTCAAAATAACACGAAGCTACTCCTACATATACAAATGTCATTCAGGTCGAGGATGCACGAGACTGAGAGAGGTAGCATGAGGCATGGAATTGAGCATTACGCCGACAGCCCTTTAAGTAACTACTGTCAGCATTAGTCACATTGTAGAAATAGCGACACTAATTGTACGCGATTCAATACGCAAATAACACACTTACCAGTATTGCTTTAACAGCGGGTCTTTCATGATTTCCCGAATCAGAATGCCGTCAGTCAGGTACTAATAAAATTTGAAGTTAATTTCTGATATGGTTATCATGACAATCACCTTAATCCGAGTTGCTTCTGGATCCGTGAAGTCATCGAAGCGCACTGCGTATCCAACCTCGTTGCCAAGCATAGTCATGCGCTCATCTGCTACCCGCGAAGCCAACTATAAAAACGCCATTAACAAAAAATAACAAAATTAAAACCTGAAAGGTGGTAGGCATCACAAAAAGTGCAAGATAAAGAAAACAAAAACTTTATTACACAGAGAATAGGTAAGAAATCAGTTAATTTATAATTTTTGATTGATAGCGTAACCAGGAATAACAGGACCTATGTTCAGTAGCATTCACCGCCGTTTTAGCATAAACAGTCGCATCGTTATGAACAGTTTTCAATAACTTGTTCAGATATTGGTTTTCATATGGCAATTACATGGTAAAGACGGAAAACACATGGCTTATTAAGCAAAACAAAAATGCAATTCAGGTGCTCTAATAGAGTGGAACCGTCGCCTATTTAAACGTTCCCTTTCACCAAGTATTTAAGAGTAAAGAAACAGTGCCATAATGCCATGGATGGCATTTTGGTAGGAATTTGAGCTTTCGGTATGAAAGTGGCCAACCATGAAAATGAAATCGACGGCACTACTCAATGATTGATTTAACAAAGAGTGAAAATTTTAAAGGGGCAGAAATACCTCAAACGGAAGCCTGCCCAATTAGGGCGAAAACTCCTATCAAATGGCTGCTACAGCTTTTCCAGGGTAATCGAGAAAACAGTTTCTCAGCAGTTTACAATAGTATGATACCACGACTGTCGGAACACTCGATTAGCCCGTCCTTTAAATGTAGTGCAAATTATTGCATACTTCCATTCTTCAGGAAAACGTTAAATTTTCGTGTATGATGATAAAGGAGTATAGATTCACGACCATTCATCCATATTTGATCGACTTCAGTGAGAATTGGTTTCAGACGACACTTTCTTCGCTTTGAAGTGAGATGACTTCGGATTTTCAGTTCTGTGAGTGAATCAGTACTAACCACTAGCACTAGCAGAAAATTAGTGATCGGGAGGGGCGAATCTAGAGAACAGGTGAGGAGCAGCTGGAAATGCATTTGAAGCGTTCCTTCCAATCTGAAAATTTTACAGTGCTAGCATCATGCACGAGTACGGACTGAGTTCTCTGTTTTCCGGATAAACGTCTGACTCATCGAAAGATTGTTAGTCCTTATTCCTTTCTGGCGCTTTATCGGTGTTTCTGATTCATTTGTCTAGCTGAAGCACCCGGTCCCAACTGTAACGCTGGTTTACAGTCCGAACGGGATGGCGATGGGCCGCCTTCGAAGGTGCAGTAGGAAATTTCAAACACTTCTCCTAAGCCTAGTTTTCCTGCACCCTGAAGAATAAGGTATTCTCTATTACGGCTACAGTACATCTTAATTAAAGTACGTTTGGAGCTTAGACTCTCAACTTCAACATCAGTAACGTACCGCCACGGCTGCTACCCGACGAGGCTGAGTGACTCCAATAATACCGTCTTTTCCCCATCCAGCTTCGTATAAGTACTGCAAAAATGTGTATCAGAAAGGTAGTGGGAAAAATCACTAGAAAAGTCATACCTGCGGTACTTGGGTACTTTTTCCACAACCAGTTTCACCTACTAGCACAATGCTCTGGTATCTCTCCATTAAGTATATGATTTGGTTTCGATGCTGAAAACAGTTTGTTATAAAAACGCATTGACAAAACTTAAACACTACTTAATCATAATATAAACTTGAATACGACCAAAAACGACGAACATTTGGTAAAAGCTGTATGCTCGTTTACCAACCAGTCAATATAACAGAACCAAAACAGGAACAGAAGTAAACGAAATCTAATACTTGATGTACCCTGAATATTGGAAGCCTAATCCGTTGTTGCTGGATACTTAGAGAAGCATATGGATTGTTAAAAACTTGTCGTGGATTACATTCTTCAATGACTTGAGCAATACTTCGTTCCTCGAACAGAGTT